GGCGGCTGCTGCGGGGCCACGGCCGCCGTGGCTTGTGCCGGGGTGGGCGAGCTCAGCGCGGCCGGGGGCTGCTTATTTGGTAATCCAGAGGTGGGGAGGCCGGGCGAAGGGACGCTTGTGCTGGGCAGGCCCATCAGGTTGGGTTTGGGAGAAGTTAAAGCTGCAAGAGGGAGGAGAGAGAGGTGAGCAATCACTCGGCGCTGGGCAGCCAGAAAGCACAAGGCGGGGTGACCCCGGGCCACCCCACCACTGCCCCTGCACCACCGCCTCCTCTGCACCGGGGCAGAGACCGTCCCGAGCTCTCGCGCCGCGGCGGCGTGGGCTGGAGAGCCCGTCCGCTCCCGCTTCCTCCGGGACGACTGCTCCGCTCCCCGCGCCCCGAGGCCCCGTGCCGTTGGGACGTGCCTTCTCAGCCTGTCCCCTGCGGCCGGCTCGGCCACGCTGCCCAGCAGCACCGAACATGGCATCTCTCCTGGGGACACCCACCAGCTGCCCGGGGTGGGCAGCACTGCTGCTGTTTTACTGACCCCTCTGAAATGCCCGGATGATCAGCAGCTGATGTCAGGGGGAGACACTTTTCCTACATCTGCACTAACTGGTCCTTGGCCAGCACAAGAAAAGCGCTATGCCAAAGGCCTGTAATGCCAGATCTGTCAATCTCGTTAAAATCTCTACAGATTAGAAAGCCCTGGTCATAGCAACTGAATAGGACTGAACAGGCTAAATCTAAGTTATTTTCTCCTTTAGGCTGATGTTCATGAATCCACAAACCTCTGATGCAACCCCTTCCTTCCTTCCAATGTAAGAGGCTTTGGGTGCACAGCTTCTGAGTAATTTCAGAGTTTTTATGGTATTCAGACATCCCCCCACGGCACGAACATCGTGTTTTGGGTGGAATTAAAAGCGTAGTGATGCTTCCTCACAGAGGAGATGGATTAATGGTGGAATGTGAAGTCTGCCCATCTTCCCAACAGCAGGAATAGCCAGTAACAACACAGTCCCCCGGTGCCGATTTCGACTCTCACAGCTGATAGTAGTTGGGGGCAAGAGGAATGTGGCTCCTGGAGTCATGTCCATTAGTCACGTCCACTGCAGTTGGCGAACGTGCTCCTAAAAAGGAACGTTCTGCTTGGGATGTCCCTCAGTGCCATTTAGGCAGAATAAAAATGATACAAAGCTCTAACGTTCTGCTGGCGCAGCCCCACATGCTCCGTGGCTCTGGAGCCAGGAACCGGCTGCAGGATCCACCCCTGCCACAAAACCATTCAACAAAATCTAACCTGTCATTAACAAAGCTGTGATGGTAACTGCTCAAAGGCAGCCTGGGTATGAACAGTTGCAGAACTAGGAATCAGCCATGGAGGCACAGTAACTTCTATTTTAGGTTGTACCTCTTCTGTGATACATCCAGTGAGAGGAGAGAGGAGGGGAAAGGAGAGGAGGGGAGAGGAGAGGAGAGGAGAGGAGAGGAGAGGAGAGAGAAGAGCAGAAACTGCCCCTTTTGGGGATTATTCAGGGCATGGTGGCAACTTAAAGTCTTTTCCAAGGGGAAGCATGCCAGCAGGGAAATGGCTATGCACAGGGCTCCTTTGCCTTGCGAAGGCAGCGTAAAAGGGACTCAAACACAGCTAGGGACTGGGGCCAACAGCTCTGTCTGAGCTGCAGCTGCCTCCTTTATCCTGGTGAGGTCTTAAATCATCATAATTGATCCTGAGGAACAAGTGTAGGCATCCTCAAGCATCTCATCCCTGCCGCTAGCAGGCAGCCTGATACCCGGGGCCTCAGCCAAAGCTGATGGCAGGACCGGCGGCAGAGGCTGATGGAGGGAGCACAAGATGTAAATTCTGTGCAGACACACGTGCTCCTCAAGCTTCTGGACCCCAAGCCCCAGACTGCTGCCTGCACAGTTGCATCACAAGAGCCTGTCACTGAACCATGCCCTGTAAAGTTGGTGTAGCCCAAAGGGAATCCACGCTTCTCAGCATACAGCACAGGAACCGCTTTCTTGCAGCATCGTGCTCTGAGTAGCAGCTGGCAGCTAAGGGGAGCGAAGCACTCTCCGAAACCTGGCTGCACTACACCCTGGTATAAACAGCTCATTTGTCTACAGCGCTGCATTCATCCACTGACGCTGGGAACCCGCACCCGGCGCTGGCCTCCCGAGCCAAGGGCAGGAGACAAAGCCGCCGTGGCTCTGCAGGGGCCAGCCTGGCGAAGGAGCCCGGCAGGAGGGCTGGGAGGAGGGCAGCCAAGAGCCGGGAGAATTCAGCGGTGGCTGATGCAAAGCCCTTCTGAAACCTGCTCCCGATGCAGTATCGAGACAATAGTGATTGGTGAAGGTATGAAGTGTATGAAGTGAGCCTCCACACAGCAGCCTTATAGATTTCAGATAAGGGCATATTATGGATAGATGCCATTGAAACTGATGTTCCCTAGTTGAACAGTCCCTGAGAGGTTCAAGCGCAGGAGCAGCGGGTAATTCATAACATTCCTGGATGCACAGCCTTATCTGCTTCGACAGGCTTTGAGCTGAGATGGCCTGACCTTTGGAGCTTTATCTAAAGGCCACAAATAGTCTGTTTGACTTTCTAAATAGCTTAGCCCTGTCTAGGCAGTCACTGATGGCTTTTAGCATTCATAGTACGTAGCCCCATCTCCTCAGGACACATACTGGTCTTCGGAGAAAAATAAAAGCAACAATATAGATTGAAGTGCAAAAAAGTGATTTTAGATCTTGTTATAAATTTGGGGTACTGAGTAAACAGCACAGAGCTATCTGTGATAGGCTGACAATATAATTTGCCAGAGAGATCCTCTTGGCCTAGTTCTGGCCTCTGAAACGAGATCTTTGGTAAGAACAGAAGTATCACGTGAAAAAGTCCTGGCATGCAAAGATGCCCTTCAGGCATGTAGCTAGGACTAGATTCAAGGAGCAGGAATGGGCAGCAGCCCTGAACAGAAGAATTTCTAATAGCAACTATTTTTAAAAATGGTTTAATTACAATGACTTATCTTACGACTATAGTCAAGAATAATTTTACTTTTGCTTTGGGAGTCGTTGGAAGAGTTCTGTAACTGCAAAAAACCCTTGCAGAGGCCCTAACTCCCACCAGAAAGCTTTTCCAGATTCCAAAAAACTTACTCTGATCTTTTCTGCTCTCTGATAGGACGGTCTGACATGGACATCAGCAACCATGCTACAAGGTAATCCCCTCTGCTACTCTCATGGAAAAAAGGATCTTGACCCCAAGAGAGTGGATGATCTTTGGAAAGGCCAGAACTCAACAAATACAGGGAGATTTAACTCTTTTTCGTTTGTCAACAGATGATATTTTAGAGATGAGCAGTAATGGAGAAAAAGGTGAGCACAGCAACTTCCAAGGGGAGAGAAAGATGCTTGTTTTGAGTCATGGGTCTCTAGCATGCTCTTTAGGGTGTTATACCCAAAGTCACTGCAACCACACACAAACGTCAGGCGCTAGTGATGTGATTTACAGCGAGCAGCTCTGCACTCAGTCCCCCTTGCGAATATCAGAAGAGCTGTTCAAGTTCCACATAGCTGCTCACACCAGCTACTGTCCTTTTGTCTAAGACTTTGATTTGCTTATCCACAGATTTACCTCCTGGATGATGAAAGAAGATGGCAATTTTATTAACATGACACAACCATGTTACCTGGCAGCACGTGCACTGAGTTTTTCAATCTGTTGAAAAAGGAACTTCAGAGTCAGCCTGCTGAATAAAAGCATCAGAAAGTCTTTTTGGAGACTGACAGCACTCCAGTTTCCGAATAACAAGCCAGGAAGATGCTCAGATCCTATTTAGGCTTCACGCCGTGGATTAGAACTCATTATTATTCAATTAGTTCAGTACAACAAGAGAAAGTTATTGTTTCTGGACACTGCCTAATAGCGGAAGACCTGTATTGCCACAGTGTAGAAAACAAAGGTGCACATATGGTGCACACAAGGCATATGGTGTAACCATACCAGGCGTTACGGTGTCATGGGCTGTCCAACCTGAGACAGTCTCAGCCTGCTGCTGAGACAAGACACTGGAATCAGTTGTCGGGATATCTCTGTAAACATACAGCAGCCCCGGTGAAAGTCAACTTGAAGAGGGATCATCAGAAGTAAACAGAGAAGTCTGCCAAGTGAAAGCAAGTCTCCTAGAGAACATCAATTACTCTGTCACGAGTGGCAACTCAGACACAGGCATGTCTCTGGGATGCCACGGATGCTGCAGGGGTGAAATAAGGCCCTTGGATCAAGTTTCTAGGTCACTGCTAGTCTACTGAGCAGTATTGTCCACTGCCAGTGTTTCTGCACATCTTACACCTTCCATCTGTCCACCAGGTACAAGGGAAAGGAGCATCCTCAAAAAACAAAGTCCAATATCTGGGATTAGGCCACCTAAAGGACTGTGCCAAATTTCATTTTTATGTAGTGTTGTTAAGAAAAACCTTATTAAAATACAAAGTAGATTTGTCCCACAACTACACTGTTGTTTGTTGAGAAGGTACTTTCGGGTTGTGCCCAGGCAGTGCTCAAAATCCAATGCACAGCTGCATCGGGATTTGTCCTGGAGGTCACCATAAGCACATTACCTAAAGATGCTCCAGGTTTCTGTCACCAGTGCTGTCATGCACATCACACTTTCCCCTAGAAACAGTTCAGAATTATTGAAAAATTGGGATAGCACTACATAAACTGAATTTAGTAACAAAAGGAAAGGTATAATGAACAACGCATTCAGCACATTAGTCCTTTTCCTGTTCCATTTGATAAATCCTCTATTTTCCACTTCCTTGGAAATGCTTCAGAATTTTTAGTCTGTGCTAATGGAACAGAGATACGCAGCATGTCTAGATCTTGCTCTATTTCAGACTTTGCTAGAAAACCCGAGTTTAGGAACTAAAGATAAAATACCTATTGCTTATTTGCTGTCAAGTAAACATGCTCAACTAAAGGGCTGGATATCCTATTATCAGTCATTCTCAAGGGAACATCCGCTTGTGCTAAAGATGCATCAAGTTAAGCTGTGTCTCTGAGCAGCGTGATGATATCCATACCCACCTGTGTTGGATGGGGTGAAGCCTGGTAAGGATGGGCTGTTGAGGCCTGGGAGCAAGACTGGAGGGATGCCCTGTAGTGCTGGGTATGCAGCAGGAAGGTTAAGAGCTTGCAGAGGGGTGTTATCAAACATGCCCTGCTGTTGAGCTGCCAGACCAAGAACCTCATTGGCTTTTTTGATCCGGTCCAGCTCCTGCTGAGCCATCAACTGACGTACAGTAGCTGGGTCAAAATACTCCTTTTCCTTATCCAACTGGCTTCCAATGGTTTCTTTAACTTTGGAGATATGCTGTTGAGAGAAGATATGGTCACGTACAGACAGTCGAGCGCTGTACTTGATGCCACACAAAGTGCACTCTGTTTTGGGTCCCTCGTAACTTGTTTGGTTTATACCAAAATGCTTGGCCATGCTGAGTTTGGACTTCTTCTCCTTTGCCCTAGCATTCTGGAACCAGACCTGAACAACTCTCTTTGGCAGTCCAATGTCATTGCCCAGGACCTCACACTCCAGCATGGTAGGTGTCCTGTAGTCATTAAAGCATGACTTAAGAACTTTTAGCTGGAGATTAGTCATCTGAGTGCGAAAGCGTTTCTGTCCGGGCCGATCCCCGCTCTCTCCAGACTTGCTGGCTGAACCACTTGCACCAGGGCTGGGTGAGCAGGGGTCTGCAAGGCTGGATGTTTCGCTATAGTCCACAGTACCTTCATTATCGTACTCTTTGCTGTAAAAGCTGGGAGCTGGGCTGACCAGGCCAGAAGACAGCCGATCTTCATATTCAGACATTGCTATCATGGCAGCTTTTGTCAGACCTTCACTGGGTCCTGATGCTGATTTGGTTTCGGTTACAATCCCTGTTGCACTGTCGTTGTCTGCATTTCCTTCATCTCCTGTTGTAGTGTCTGTGATTGCAGTGTTGACAGAAGAGCAGTCATCGTTGTCCAGCTTTGTTTGGTCAAAGCTCAGATTGACCGAGGACATGGAGGGACTCTCGAAGTCTTCTATCCCTTCCACCTTAATGGAGGATGGACTCAGCAGAGTTCGAGGTGACAGTTCCATGCTCTTGTTCACTGGGGAGAGAGGAACACTCTGTCCATCACTGCTAGTTGGTGGCATGTGGGAAAAGCTTGCTCCATCAAAGATGTCTCCCTTCATTTGGAGTCCCCCATCACAATCTAAGAGCATAGCAGACAGTGTCAAGTTGTATCCAGCTCTCTTGGCCTCATGCCAGTGACGGGATCGGATATGAGCTTCAAGAGCTGTCTTTGCTTTAAAAAGAGCTCGGCAGAAGGGACACCGTCTATGGGCTTGGGCGGGCCCTACAGCTCTGAACTGCCCCTTCCTTTCCCGTGCACGGGTGTTCTGAAACCAAACTTGCACCACGCGTTTCTTCAAGCCCACTTCATGTGCAATGTGATCCAACATTTTCCGTGTTGGGTTGGAGTCGAGCAAGTATTTCTGATAAAGAATTTCCAGCTGCTCTGGGGTAATGGTTGTCCTTAGACGTTTATCCCTTTGCGGTTCCTCTCCTCCAGTCCCACTGTCATTTTCTCCAGGGCTTGCACTGGCCTTTTCCTCCAGCTTTCTCTTCAGTGTATTCATTGTGGATGTTGGAGTTGACGGTGAAGTGGCTGAGCTTGCTGGAATCTGTGGTAATGTTCCAGATAGCAGCTGGCTCGCAAGTAGTGGATTACTGGGATCAAAAAGCATGAACGGCATATCCAGCGTTCTGTCCAGGAATGGGGGGTGGATAAACTGGTTCTGTGCACTCAGAAAATGAAGCTGCTGATGCTCCTGCCAATGCTCAAAGGAAGGAAATGCCAGCTTACACTGGTCACACTGGTATGGGATTAGCTGAGGAGGTAGGTTTGCCAGCTGTTGAGGGGTGGATGTGTGAATGGGTTTGAGGGAGAGATGTGAGAGCTGAGACGGACTTGGGCTTGACTGTGACAAGGAGCACTGAGGGGGCTGAGGAGGGGGAGGTGGCTGCTGCAATGAGGAGGGGGAGGATAACTGTGTAATCTTTTGGTGTGCTGAACTTGACTTTTGTTCTCCTTGGTCCTGTTGCTGCTGAGACTCTTGCTTTGGTTGCACTTGCTTCTCTTGAGTTTGGTTTTGCTGTGTACTTGGAGGTTCGGACTGCTTTGGTTTCTCATCTGTAGCTTCTACTTTAGAACTATAGGTGGAGGAATCATCTGCCTCTGCTGTGAGCTGCAGAAAAGCTGAGGAGGTTGCGTTGGCTGAAGACGTAGGTGTGCTGTAAGCTTGTGAGGGCATTGGTGTGCTGCAGGAGGAACTGGTTGGAGTCAAGAGCTCCATTGCATCCATAGAGTCTTCATTCTGGCTATCATCCTGTCCATCCTCATCCTCATCTTTGTAACAAAGCTTTTTCTGGTGTTTAATGAGATCAAAAATGCGCTGAAAGACTAGACTGCACTTTTTGCATTGGTAGTTCAAGTTGCTTGTTCTAATATACCTGTCATTTGTAAGCTCCCGTCGTTCCCCATCTTTGCCTTCTCCCTGATTCTCATAGTTTTTCCTAGCTTTTTGACGGGCATTCTGGAACCACACCACTATAACACGCGTTGGGAGGTTCAGCAAGTTTGAAAGCTGCTCAAATTCATCATCCTTTGGATAAGCATTGGCATCAAAGAAATCCTGCAGGACTCTGAGTTGGTAGTCAGTAAAGCGTGTCCGGGAGGACCGCTTGCTTCCCCAGTACTCCTGCTTTTGAGGTTCTGGAGAAGGAGGACGTGAGTCTATCTTCAGTTCTTCCAGGCTGGTAATGGGAGGATTACTGAAGTTGTATGGGGAATCCTTGTTGCGCTGGCGTTCTTTGAAAAGAGTGTTTCTGAACCAGTGCTTGATCACTTTCTGAGGCAATCCAGATTTGTCCGCCATCTCTTTGATCTGTTCCTCACTTGGGGAATTGTTAATATCAAAATACTGCCGAAGGACTCTGAGTTGGTCGTCGGTGATCCGTGTCCGCGGCCTCTTGTTCTGCTGCTGCTGGAGAAGGCTAGGGTTGAGCTGATGCTGGTACAACTGGGCCAAGTCGGCAGGCAGAGGGTCTACGGGACCCAGCTGGGGTGGCAGCTGAGCAGGTAACGTTTGTAGTGGCATGGTTTGCATCATAAGTGGTGAAAAGATGGGGAGCTCCATTGGCATGGAGAGCTGGGTGAGTGGCACAGACGGCTGGGCTGGTGCGATTGTAGGAGAGGTAATCGGTGGGGCAGAAGTAGGAATGGTAGGAGTAGAAGCTGGCTGAGGAGGTGCTGGAGGGAGAGGAGGTGGGGGCGGTGGAGGAGGTGGTGGTGGCTCTGGGGTCTGAGGCCGTAGCGGGTACAGTTTGTCATAGTGTTCTCTATATTGTTTGGCAAATCTCTCTAACTGCTTAAAGGGAAAGTAATGTTGGTGAACATGCTCTTGGTGGCTCTTCAGGATGAGGATGTTCGAAAAGAACTTGCCGCATGTATCACATTCAAGCTTTTCCAAGTTCTCACCTTGCTCTGTCTTCCCATTTTTCTTCTGCACCTTCTGCTTGTTCTCGTTGTACTGAATGACAAGCTCAAAGCCAAAGTTTTCCAGCAAGGCTTTTGTGGCATTCCCTCTCGCATCAGAGGCAATACGCGGAGGCAGTAAGGAGGGTTCTGAACTACTGCCTGGTACAAAGTCCTTCTTCTCTTTGGGCTTTAAGTTATCAGGCAGAGACTCCTTAGATGCTACATTATTGTCTCCCCTCTCTGCACTTTCCCTTTCCCGTGGGGTTTCTTTTTCTTTCTCCTTCACTACAGATTTATTCTTCTTCTCGGGGTGCTGGCTCTGCTGTATAAGGACGGAGTGAGGTTGTGACAAGGACAGCTGACCTTGCTGCTGCTGTAAGAGCTGTGGATGGCTCTGCTGAGGGAGCTGAACTTGAGCCTTCAGGTCCTCCAGCAAACTTGGACCTGTACCAGTCAATGTCAGCGCACCACTGGTGACAGGCAAACTAACTTCTGGATTGAGCTGGAACTCAGCACTGGGGATGTAGAAAGGAAACAAAAGATGCTGCTGTTGCTGAAGCTGCAGAAGGGTCTCAGTGGTCATCGGAAAGTGCGGCAAAAGTGCTGGGTTGAACAGCTGAGACTGCAGGAGAGCAGCTTGCTGCTGCAGTTCTTGTTGCAGATGGGCCTGGACTTGGGCCTGTGCCTGTGCCAAGGTTTGAGCTTGTTGCTGCTGCTGCTGCTGCTGCTGTTGCTGCTGTTGCTGCTGCCTGGATGCAATCATGTCTGCCAGCTTCTTTCGGTTTACCTCTTTGGGCTCCGAAGGGGAGGAGATATTAGTGCTTACAGGGTTACCTAAAGGAGGAATTCCCACATTGTCGCTGGATACCTGGTTGAGCAGGCTGGGAATGGGAGTTGTGCCCGAATTACTTGTGTTGGTGGTTGTAAAAGTATTACTGTTGCTAGTGCTCACTGGACTTGGCGTGGATGAACCCAAAGAGAGACTGCTGCTGCTGCTGTTGCCAGCTCCGTTACTACTGCCGCTGCCCCCAGCCGCCTCCAGCTTGGCAGCGCGAGCCTTGGTTTGGTGCAGGACAGACCTCATGTGGATCTCCAAGGTTGAGCTTTGACTGTAGGCCACGTTGCAGGTGTTACACTTAAAAGGTTTGTTGTCTGGGCTGCTGGTAGGCTCGGGCTGCCCAGTAGCAGACTCCTGGAGGGCTCTTTTCAGTTTATGCAGATGAGAAACTGAATTGTAATGGACCAGGAGAATGTTCTTTTGCGTGAAAGACTCCTTGCAGACTGTGCACTTGTAAGGGCGAGACGGATCTAGGAATTTCTCCATAGTGAAGTTAGGGCCTTTCCTGAAGGGTAAGGCCCTTTTTGGTTCTGAGCCAGAGTCCTCTTGTACCGACCCCGAATCGCTACCTGTTGGGCTCTGCTTGTCTTCCAAGTCGCTCTCCTCCTCCTTATCTTCCTCGACTATTATAGTGTGGTCTTCTGCAAGTGAAGGATCGCCCATAGCGAGGAGGTCCCCGTTGACCAAGAGACCACCATACAGCTGCTGAATGTCAGCCTCGCTCAGCTCCAGATGGCTGGTTTCCAGGTGCTTCTTCAGGGCCTGGAAGGTTCGGAAGCTGCGCTGGCAGAGGCAGCACATCGTGGCTGCCCGGATGACGTGGTACTGGGAATGGAGCTGCAGCTTCTCAATGGTTTTGAACGCCAGGCTGCACTGGTTACAACGGTACTTGTAGACGTGGCGATCGGATACCGGCAGTTGAGGCCGCTTTGCGTGAACTTCATTGAAGTGTGTCTGCAGGGCTGCCGAGCTCTTGAACACCTGGTTGCAGCCCTTCTTCCAGCAGAGGAAGCCGGAGTCCTCCCTGGCAGAGCTCTGATCGGCCGGAACAGGCTTGGGATCTCCGCTGTGCTCTGCACTTTCTGATGGCAAAAGACTCTTTCCCGAGTCCTCAGAGATCTCTGCAAAAACAAAATTAGAGCAAACCTGAAAAATACACCAGCACACAAGGGTGGATCAACACCCTCTTTTTGTCCCTAATACGTCTTTGTTTTTTTCTCTGCAGGATGATAAGTATTTCTAACATTTCTCCTCTATCTTCATTCATTTATTTTAATACCAGCCCATTACCCTCATCATGGCCCATTGCATAAACCTACAGAATTTGCTTTCTTGCCCACTTTGAATATCTGGAAATTATTCACACACACACACACACACACACACACATATTCCCTTAGTGCATTTATCACCTTTAATTCTTCCTTTTAAGTGAAGGCCATTCAGCCACCTGTCTGTTTTGCTGTTTTTCTTTGATGTCCTGCCTATTTTCCACTAAGAAGGTAGTATTTGAGTCTTGGTCCTATCAAAGCTAGAAAAAACAGGAATGAAATTCAGGTCCTGCTGGCAGCAGCTCAAAGGGTGCTGTTTGAGGGAGGACGGGAGAAGAAGGAACAAGCACTCAGTGCGTTGCCACTTTTCCAGGGTCTAAGAGCACAGTCCTGCTGCAAAAGACAGCGTGATATGGCTAGGGGCCAAAAAAGGGATCCCGTTGCCCAGGGCAACATTAGCTACCCTGGCTGTGCCAGTGCTGCCCCACCAGCATCACTGCTTTGAGGCTGCCTGCCTGAAAGGTAACGACGGCTGTCTTCATCCCCAGATTCCTTACAGACCTTCAATGGGGGCACAGAAGGAAGACCGGCGTTGCTTCCCTGCCAGGCTTGAGATCAGACACTTCTGCCCATGCAGAACAATGTTCTTATGATCTTCTCACATCACACAACAAAGCCAGGACTAAATAGCCATGGATTTACAGCCATGCCTTCATAACACAGACCGGCAATGAAATAGGCTGAGGAAATTTGAGCCAGATAAGGACCACAGCAGCTCAAAGCTCCCCAAACCATATGCCCAGCATCCGTACTTGAGCTATGATGGCAGCAGAGCAATGACAGCAGAGGTGTTAGCACAGTCTGCGGCCAGCAGCTGCAATCTTTGGCACTTCTCTACTGATCCCCTCAGCCCTCCACCACCTCTGCTTTTCACCGCTCACATCTGGTCTTCTCCCTTGCAAGGATGCAACACCATTTCCACGTGAATCGCCATGGTGGTGAGCTGTGCTCCTCAGCTCTGAGCTGCCCTGCTCTGCCCTGCCATGGGGACACCCCGGGCACCAGCCTGTTTGTGGCACTGATGAAGGGAGACGGCCCTGCTGGGCACTGTCCGACTACTGTGGTTCTCAGGGCACAGCTGGGCACATGGAGCTCACCAGGGCGGAGATGTCCCAGACACAGTCCCTGACCAGGTGATGGAGCTGGGGGAGTGGCGGGACCCGTGGACCTCACTGACCCACACTCACCAGGCTGCTTCCCCAGCTCCTCTGTGGTGGAGTTCCCATCTTTCTCTGGAGTGGCTGCTGGGAGAAACATGCTGCTGGGCATCATCACCTCAGGTGTTGTCACCTGGAGACAGGGAGGAAAGGATGTGGGGAGAAGAAAAACACAGGAAAATATTTTAAACATCTTCAGTGGCAAAATTAGACACCAATATTGTAAAGTCAGAGGCGTCACTTTTCATAGCTCAGTGAAGACTCATATTTATTAGACAAAGCTCACATCAGTCAAAAGTGTTTCTACAGTTACATTCTGGACATAATTAGCAGTGCACACTTGAAGAATAATCTTATTATTAATATTTTTCCTTTATGTAGAATTCAGACTTTGATCACTGACAATGTTTTGTCATGGGCTGTGAAACTTCTTGTGCAACCAATTAAGTAGATAAGTTGAAAGGCCCACCTTAAGCTGCTGAAAACATAATAAGGCCCCTAATTAAATCATACCTCGTAAAGTACACTGTAATCTTGAACTAGGGAGCATTGCAGCACTGTTTTCAAAGTGTATCGATGCAGGAAAAGGAGGGGCATGAGAAAGAAAAGTACAAATAAGGAGAGAGGTGACAAAGGAAAGGATGAATAAGGAAAGACTAAAAAGATAGCAAATTGTCTGCAAAAAGAAAAGCTTTTGGTAACCCTTTCCTTGCTCTGACTGATGTGTTCCCTTCGCCTCTCTTCAAGTGTTTGTCTAGAACCTGCACCATCAGAACCAATGCGGTGCTTGAACACCAACATTTTTAAAGAGCTGGAGAGTTTGCGTGCTTCAACTAGAGATGCTCTTTGAAAGAGTCAAATGCATAAACTCATCTTTTTCCGCAAAACTGTGTTCCTTAGGGTGTATCCAGTCACACAGAACATACAAACTACCTCACTAGCAGTTTGCACATGGCTGGCGTCAGACACAGGACAACGAATACCCTTCTGAACATCCAGAGCCAGTATCTCACACCACCTGAAAAGCTGCCCCACAGCCTTTCTCCCCAGAGCAGCAACTGGAAAAACAGACCCGTAACAACGTCACAGTCCGTGCCGTATTCCAGTGCATGGCTGCCAGCACTGGTTAGATGCCTGCGGCAAGTGAAGACACCTCTACACCTCCGAGCAGGTGCATGCTTCACCCCACTGACACTCAGGGAGCATTTCCCATTCACCAGGGCTGTGGTGTACTGCACTTGAAGGTACAGAAACCAACACTGACTTGCAATGCTCGTGGCGCTTCTGCTCCCAGCCTCTGACTGCTGGGAAAGTGAGGCATACATAAACACTCCTAGACAGGTCTGTTTCCTAGCAAAACAAGTCCCTCTGTCCTTCTGTCAGATACTAAGAGGGCATTTGAACCTTGGATTTCAGAAGAGAGTGAGTGAGTGAGGCTGTTATCTGCATGCAGTGTTACCTTGCTTTCTGCGAAGTCAAGGACCACAAGGCTCCCACTGAACTGCACGAGATATTAGCAAATCTGTGGCGAAGCTGAAGGTAAACCTATGTGCAGGACATGAAATCTTCCTTATCTACACACATGTCAAATCCAAGCAAACATAGACTAGACCTTGGCTTCGCTAAGCGAATGGAAGCAAAAACAGTCCATGAAAAACCTCAGAATCAAATGTTCGCATATGAGTGGCTGCAGACCTCTGAACCGCACTGGGGAGCGATGCTGAGCTCCCTCCCTTTACTGGGATGGCTGGTGCACGGAGGTGAGCGCTGGGTCTCACAGACATCTGCAGGAAAGGCAGCTGGCACTGATAAATCACCAGGAGGGAAGCTGAGCACACCAAATTCATTCCACCTTTTACTCTAAGCAGGAGTATCTGACGGCTGTGGGTGGTGGGTCGGGAGACGTGAAAGGTCACTGGTTAATTCCCGGTAGCCAGGCTCGGAGGAGGGGGACGAGCAGGGATGCTGAGGAGGAAAGGCAAGAAGGAGCCATCCCTCTCAGCTTTATCAGCAGGGAGAACGCTCTCCTAGGATCTTTAGGAATTATGAAAAATAAATCATGAGAAATTAAAAAAAACCCCAACAGAGTAGAAAAAGAATAAAATTATCTAACACCTCAGCTGCACATCATTATAGAAAACTGTGGGCTTTTTATACGCATTACAGTAAGGCAGCCATCCCCACTACCACACTCAGTACGACGGATCAGTAATTGTTTTCATACACTTTAATTAGAAAAACTCAGATGGCTATGAATAATAATGGAAAAGAGAGACTTTTGCACTTGAAAGGTTGAAGTCAATCAAGTGTGAATGACGGCAAAAAAGAAAAAAAAAAGACACCAATTCATCAGGCCTCTGTTGTCTCGCCGCGTCTTTAATCATAATTCCTGATTGGGATTCAAGAAGGCAGTAAGCAGCGGTTCTTTGTCTGCCTTCACCTTCCGTCAATTAACTCTCCCCGAAATATAATCATCAACCTCACATGCTCCTCTGCATCTTAATCTGGGTCTCCAAACCAGTAAGTCCTGCCCTATATGTGTTTAAGTAATTACCTTTATCTACCTGCACCTCCATAGCCACAGTTCTCACCCTACTTCTACCCCTCCCTCCACAATAAAAAAAAAGAAGAAAAAAAAGGGGGGGAGGAAAAAAAAAAAGGCTGTGGTACATTAAATTGCTACAGGCACAAAAATCCAAAAGGCAAACAGAAAAAAGCTTGGAAAAAAAGTGCAGGAAACTAGAAATTCTGGATACGGATGTAGGGCAACTGCAGGCAGCCCAGGCAGCCACACAGGGATGGCCCTGGGAAGCAAAACCTTGAAAATAAGGCACTGGTCTTCCTTCAGCAATGGGACCCACTTCAGTCCTCTACCTGTTTAGCACCATTCAGGCTTCTTCTGAAAGTGCTGTCCGTTTCCTATGCCATTTTCCAGGGCAGGACTACTCTGTCTCTTCATCCCCAAGCACCACCCCTGAGCAGGTAGCAAAGATACAAATAGTGAAAATAGGCTGCACGTCTCAAATTATTTTGCATTTACACTGAATTCCAGACTGCCCATTTTGAACTACCTGTCCTTTTACACTGCAAACCTGTCCGAGGATATACCATTTCCTTGTACGTGCAGAAAATGCCTTGCATGTTGCAGCTGCTTTTATTATAAACAAGTAGTGAGAGTACCAAGGGGGCAGGAAGGTTTACTAGGCCACGGCCACCCGACAGGTAAACAAGGAGCGGTGCTCTACGACACAGCATTTTGTACTTCAGTTGTATTTAAATGGCATTAACTGTTCTGGTGATAGAGAGGAACGTGTTTATCTCGAGCACAGCCCGTGTTAGCGTGTGCTCTTGTTAAATGCTCTCTACCTCCCTCTCGCCTGAGCAGGCAATACCTGGCATGTAATCCTGGCATCCATCCTCAGCTCTGCTCAATACCTCTACCTCCCAGTTTAAATGTTTCCAACACCAACTGTTTCACATTGGCAACAAGTCAGTCAATGTGAATCATTATTAAAAAACAACCCTACAGAGGTAAGTCCAACAAATGTGATTTGTCTTCTCCCTTTCCTTCTTCTGTACTTGTTTTGCTCTGTCTGACATTAAACTGTGTCCCCTTCACAGCTGCAGCCGTGATCTTCTAGCCCACAAGCTGCCAGCAAAGACTTCCAGCTTGGAAACACCACTCTCACACCAGATCCACCTCTGTGCACAGCCCCGAGAGCGCCCGTCCCCCCGCCGCCCCTGTGTCCAAGGTCTCCTGTAGGTCGCTCCTCCAACGTTACCGCACAGAAGCAAACGGTCCCCTCGACCCCTGTTGCTCTTGACCTTTCTGTCCAAATGAAACCAGGAGGTGGGGAGGAATTGGCAGCTCACTCCTACCCACTCTTTCTGACAGCTCAGCATTCGGATACCAATACGTGGATCAGGTTCTGTTTATCGGTACTTCGATGACTAGAGTCACTGTCTCCAAGAAAACCCCCGATGCTGAGGCAGGCGCTCAGGGCGCACCCTTTGCTCTGACTGCCCCGTCTCCATCCCCGTCCGCCCAAGTGGGACAGGGAACTTGCCTGGGTAAGGAGCGAAGGAGGGGGAAGTTTGGGCCAGAGACTGTGGCAGCCCCTCCTGCGCCCCACTTTGAAACATCTCCCCTGTGGTCTGTAGCGGAGATGGGAACGCCGGCCAGAGAACTTCCCTCTAGAGCAGACTGCAGAGAAGCCAATTATCTGCCTTAGAAGATGGGAAGTTGTTGGGACAAGTCCCTCTGCTTCCAAGGACCCTCCCTTTTGGATGAAATTCAGATCCCCTTAAGAAGATAAATTTCGTCATGATGACAAGATCCACTGACATGCATGGGCACCCCAATTCAATGGCCATTTCTATAGACAACGTGGTCCAGCGAGTGGCTGTTACAAAAAACCCAAGGGCTGACAGGCCATGTCTCCTGCCTCCCTGCCCCATGAGTATCCTCAGCAGACTGCACAGGCCCTGACACCTACAGCCCTGTCACCAGTCTGGAGAACAACCTGCGGGTCCACTCCTCACTGGTGACAACCTACAGCAGTGACAAGCGTGGCTCCTGCCACTATTAAGACGATGAACTGCAGAGCCGCTTATCAGCGTGGACTGGAGGCTCAGAGCTGCAACACCCCTCCCGCTCTGGCCCCGGCAGCATGACACAAGCATATTCCTGGCACGTCCAAAAAATTAATCTTGGATAGCGTGAATAGCCAGCTCCCCTTGTGCACTGGATCAGCCTGCTCTGACTTTCCTCTGGACCAAGTGACCAAACGTGTGGACAGCCTATGCAGTTCCTTCGTAAATGCCCCCAAATGCTGAAATCATGCGGCTTTGAAAAGAAAATCTCTAGAAGGGGTCTGAGGAGAGATACATTACTATCCCTATGTCCATGCAACCAGGGGGAAATACACATGCAATGCAAGGTTCCCAACCAGACAAAGGAGGTAATTTCCATTACAAAGAGAGAGAGAGGGTGCTGGAGTGAAAAGCTTCATTAGACTCAGAGAGGCAAAGCGATGGCAGTATACCAAGGTCACTTCTAATTTAGACCATCTAATTGGCAAACATGGCTCCAAATGGCTATCATCTCACAGGGCTCAGAATTAATGAAGCCCGATTATTTTCATTACCTTCATCCGAGATGGAGAATGAGACACAGAGTGAGAGGGAAAGGGGGGAGTGAGAGGGGGCGAGAAGGAGGGAGAGAGAAAAATTGAATGACAGCAGAAGGGAGAGAGCAATAAGAAAAGACAATAGGAAAGAGGGAAAAAATGTAAAGATAGCGAGAGGGAGAAGTGAGGATGGCAGGGACGGGCAAGAATTACTCTTAGAGCAAGGGAGAAAAGAAAAAGATGGAAAGACGGCTGAAACACTGGGAAGACACCCTAAACCAAGGAAGAGAAAACTGACAACAGAAATGATGGGAGAGGAATGTGCAGAAGGATAAAGCCGGCCGCGGGAGGAGGGAGAGCTCCCCGCTCCCGGAGGCTCTCGGGAAGCCGTCCCTTCTCCTGGCTTGAGCCCATCAGTCTTGTCAATCGACTGTGCAGGCGAACTGCACTTCACCCTCATTAAGGGGCTCTCTGCTGAAGCGGTGCAGGCCCAAGATTAGCAAAGAGGCTGTTATGTGGAAAGATGGCGATTAGACCCGCTTAGAGAGGCTGAAACGCCACGTAAAATGAACTCGGCCACCTTGGCGCACCAGCCCCGTGGAAGGGAAGCCGCAGGAGACCGGGACGACGGCGGGAGCCCCTGCCCCTGCCCCTGCCCCGCGGGGGCTTCCCCGGCCGCCCCGCCGTGCGGGGACGTGGTGCGAGCTCTGCTCCCCTCACCCTGTGGCTGCTGCCCCGCCAGCCCCCCGTCCCACGCCTGGGCTGGCGGGGAGGACCCGGGTGTCCCGTGGGACAGCCAGCCCGGCTGCTCGCTGATATGAAAAGGACGAGGCACGGAACAGCCAGCTCTGAGATGCTGAGCACAAGCAAGCAGCCGTTACTATGGCAACAGACATATTAGACACTGCAGGTTCCTGAAAGGCGTCTGATAAGGTATTATTAACTGGAGCCTCCTCCAAACGCCAAGCGCAAAGACACTATGTCGAAAGGGACCTGGCTCCCAGTTACTGGACTGCAATTCCCTCACAGTGGCACCAAGACCTGATTCACGTGTCAGACTGAGACGGGAATCTTAGCTACAATGAGCAAAATTGGCAACCTTTGATGCTGCCACGTTCTCCACAAGCCATCCTGACTTCTCAAAATATGTCATTTAATACAAAAAAGAACCGCTTTCTTGGCCCACATGCTATTTGACTTGAAGCAGGAGAGGCCGCCTTCCTCCCCAGACACATCTCTGGGTACCAAAGGAAACAGCTGCCCAGGGCCAGGGGCAATGGCAAGGTGGAAAAACCAGAAACGAGCAAGAGGACGAGCTTCATGGCTACGCCAGTCTCCACGGTTCTCAGCAGAAGACCTGTGCTCTGCAGCAGAAGGACAAGGCCCTGCTCCAGCACAGCAGATGCGCTCACCTAAGGGGCTGTTCTCCACAGTACTGCAGTTGCTTTGGCCATGTCCTCTGCGGGGTGCCCTGAGCTCCTTAAAAAGTGCCTTCTGCCAGTCTCCCTGTATCCTGGAGGACACAGATCTGCCCAGGCTGAGAGGATGGACCAGCCCAACTGCACCCGTTCCAGACTGCGCGTTCTGCCAACGGCCCAACTCAGAAACGAACCATTTCACGTCAGCGTAACAGATACCCTTAGCAAACTGGTTGCACTGGCTGGCGCAAGAAAGGGGCTCAGCTTCTGCTCACTGCTCTTCTAAGGTCAAAATGCCTTCCATCAATTTAGTTAGAAGTTAACAAGATTCGTTCAAGTCCTCAGAAGGTTATTTACACACTCAAGCACCATCAATCAAAACGGATGCAGGTCGCAGAGACCGAGGTCTTTGTGATGGGACAGTTCCCTGACCCAGGTGCACAAGTGGTCGGCAGAGCAGAGCTACCCCCTGCTAGAGCCTGCGAGCACGGCCAGCTTCACAGGATTAGTGAACGGCTGGTGCTCTTCTTCCCTACCTCTCTATATTCTGTTACTCAGAGAGGGCCAGGGCCAGTCAGCCTGGCTGGATTTTTAATGGGTTTTATTTACGATGTGGTGCCTACTCGGGGCACACACGGTTCTTGCAGGCGGTGGGGAGCATTGGTCCAACGGTGGCCACCACGAGCCTTCGCAGCCTGCTGGGGTGCAGGACACATCTTTGGCTCCTGCGGAGCCCAACAGGGCTGAGAGAGAGGGCAGAAAAGTGAGAGGACAGGTAGCTGGTAAAGCAAAGCAGGAAGATAAAAAGCATAAAGGCATTTGAGAAGGAGCCACAAGAGGACTGGAAGGGTGATTGAAAGAGAAGATGAGGGAACTATAAGAGGAAAGCTGGGCAACGCTGCACATGCTTGCTCAGACAACATCAAAGGAGGGGAGCTGATAACACGAGTATTACGACAAACATGATATTATCCGTGTCCATTGTCAGGAATCGGCAAAGAAGGGAGAAAACAAGCAGAAATGGGGTGCAAGAAAAAAAATCACAAAGAGAAAGAACTGACAGGAATCAAAATAAACACTTATTTTATATACTTGGTGACAAGTTCTTAAATGCAGACACAACCTTGCCTTGAAGATTATACCAAAGAAATAACAGTGTAGAAATCTGACAATACATCCCATTTGTGAATTTAGAAGGGTTTTTGAAAATGTGCCTTATTAATTCTACCTGTATCTTAAACTGACACTAGCAAATGGAAACGCGCACTCATGTGAAACCTATGAAAAGGGAATTCATGAAAGAAACATTCTGGGACTCAAAATGTTATTTACTGAAGCAAGTGCCTGAGTGCTGGAGAGTGGGGTAAGCCTTTATGAGCATTTCTGCACCACGAGAGCACGTACAAGTCCTGGAGAAGGGGTCTGGGAGCTGCACACACAACTCCACGCGTATGCCAGCAGCAGAGAGGGACTCTGGGTCAGCGGCTCTGGGATAAAGCAAGCCAGAGCACAAACCCAGGTCTCACAAATGAGAACCTGAACACTGTGCTGTTAATTTGCTACTCCTCACCAAGCACTAGCTCTGAAGTTAGATGAATTTCGATTCCTTGGAGATGGTGTTGGAGAAGGATTCCCATGCTAGGTGCTGAAACAAGGATGCAGGGCAGAACAGGAGCCTGGTGCAAAAACACTTGTGCTGAACCACAATCTTCTCCCCATCAGAAGCGGCACAAGCAGTAGCAATCATAACCCATACACAGGCACAATGCTGTCTGACAAACAGCTCGAGAAGTGGAGTTGTTACAAGTTTGAGCTCTACATGAAGACAGTTAACTTTACCTAGCAAACTCACACTCCATGCTTCAGTGGCAAACTTCCTACTTCAGAGGATTTTAAATGCCTGTGCTTAAATTTTAATTTAAAACCAGGCATTTCCAAACATTTTAAAAACAGCACTTGAAACAGTAGGTCTAGTATTCAACAGTCCCATAATAAGGTTCCGCCTCCCTTGGGCCAACTGCAGTGTATCCCTTGTTCAGGTTACTCTGAAAAAAGGGAATTGTTACACAACAAAAGCATTGTAATTTTGGATGGAGCAACTCCTCACAGAAGTAACAGATCCAACTTATCTCATACAACCATAACAATGATCCTCATTAAGTGAACTAAGCGCAGAACATGGGCTGCACAATAGGACTGTCTCCCCTCCACAAGATGAGACCGCCAAGGGAAGTTACTCTGTTGGTTCTTAAAATCATATTTTAAGCAGAAACCTGTTATCTAATTTCCTGTAATGTTACCTTAATCACCCTGGCTGTCCTTGGGAAGTGCTCATCAACACACAGCACTTTTTCTCTGCAACAGAAGCAGCACAGTACATCAGCTACTGCATCTCCCAGAAGCTTCTGTGCAAATGTGATCCCAGGCAATGACCTCAGTAGTTAAAGGAAATCATATTTATTCTAATCTCTTCACAGGGAAATTACTCAACACTGAAACACTGCCAGTTTCCACAGTGGTCAGGCACGGAGAAGATAGTCTCTGCAGACAAAACCTACAGGGATGGGGAAAACCTAGATGACAGAGCCCTGACAGATGAAGGAGCTGCCCACTACAGCAAAGTCAGCCCGTCCAGGTCAGGCCATCCCGTTACTCTTCATCTTCGCTAGGAAGGCAGCAGACATGCTTGAGTACGCAGCCACTTACCGTCATGATGAGTTTCTCGACACAGTCAGGTGACACACTGTGCAGATGGGTGAGGTGCAGCTGCAAATGGATCTTGTTGTTCAGCATGTCCTGGCAGAGTGGGCAGCGGAGCATGGGCTGCACTGAGTGCTGGGTCATCGCGTGCACCCGCAGCCGATTCACGTCTGTGTTACTGTACTTGCAATATGGACACTGATACATCTGCAGAGCAAGACAAATGAATCACACAATTGTTACAGCTGCTGCTTTCCTCTTTCCTTACAGCTAGACTTTAATAATTTGATGCCTTCTCCTACCACCAGTTACCGCCTTTCATCCTCCTTCTCCTATTTTATTCTTTGCTTTTGGCACGTATGAAACAAATTACCTGCTTGTAGATGCACAAAAAGCTGGGTTCTTCTTCCTTACCTGCTCTGATTTGGTCTCCTCTGAAGTTTTTGACCACTTAAAGGAGAGAGGCGACTCAGAGCTGCTGGGAAACGATATTCGTTTAGAAGATGCTGGAGGCTCTGTCAGCTCCTTCTCTGCCTGGCTGGCTGGTGCTGCAACAAAAAGAGATTTCTATCAGGACATCCCCAAAGCGGCTTAAGTTGGACGAAGACCGTATTTCCATTTGCTGCTGTTGCTTGAAACATAGCAAGGACTTGGAGGAGGACGAGTCTGTGGACCAACTTACATCCTACAAAGCACGCCTGGCCAAAAAAAGTTTTCTTGATTATCTTTAATAGTGTCATTTATAGTTAGAAGCAATCTCAGCTATTTCTGTTGGCTGCTTACAACCTGTTAGGTACAGGACAGTCTTGTCCTGTGTTTACATCGGACACACAAATGCTTGGCGAGACGTGAAGGCCAATGCGTCACCTCCACGAGCAGCTGGCTGACTCAACAAAGCAGAACTCGTACTCCTAGCTCACCTGGGACGTTTTGCATATGAACCCTCTAGAATACATTTCCCTTGGAGACGGCTGGAAGCTGTGGCCTTCAACCCAACTGACTTGCACGCTGGGCTGGAAGCAGCGGCACACTGCCAGGGCAGCACCGGCCAGCTCAGCCTCAGGGAAGAGCGGACATCTGAGGGTACTCCCCAGCAAGTGGTACCTCCAAAATGCTCACGATGGCAGTGGCCCAGGCTACAGCCAGTGCTGGGATGGGATGCGGATGTTCTCACGCTGTAACAAGCTGAGGAAAGGCGATTTTATTTCAGCAAAACAGAAAAAGGCAAATGAGCCCAGAAGTCAACAGCAAAACACTCTGCAAGTTGTGGCACTCCGAGAAGCACATCCCTGACCTTTACCCCTCCCCCGAACCCTGGCAGCCTGCAGTACATAAATTTGTGGGACATCTATTATTTAAAAACTGTAAGGACAAGTATATTATACACAGCCCCCGTCTCCTCCTCCCCGAACACACATTCATAACAGTACTTTAATCTGTCTCGAATCGACTTCAAACCCATTTCGCCCTTAATGGGAGTTATTCATTTTCACTTGAAAGGTAATATATGACAGCTGGATATTTAATATGATGGATCGACTGCCGATTAACAAGGCACTGTAGCATTCTTAGACCGGTCCCCCCATACTCTTCCCCTTGTCTCATTCTCTTTGTGAACCCTCTGGTATCCGCTCCTTGTTTCAGAAGATGCCGTCAGAGTAATATCCAGGCAAACTGCTTCCTTCTCAAAGATCCTTCCATTCACTGGCATAAGCTATATTTTGAAAGGTACCACATCACAGTAAGAAATACAATCCCCATTTATAACTGCCTTCCCTGCCAGACCCCACCTCTAAGCATTCAGTTAAATAGAGGCAAAATGACTTCCAGGAGCGGGAAAATAGGTTTTGCAAATAGATAACAATGCTGCCAGAGGGAGGCAGGGATCAGAGGAGCTCTGGTACTACTGAATTTCTCCTGGTAGACTTGGCCGTGCCAAAGCCTGCTTAGGGGCAATTTCCTTCCCTGTAGTGCTGCCCTGCCGCATGCCTCTTATTTCAGCCCTGGCTGGTTATACAACCACCTCCATGCACGGATGTAAAGTCCTGGCTGTATCTGAAACCAAAACCACAGGACCCCACTGTGCTGCCAACTCCATGAAAACGTCCAAACCTAGAGTTTCTTTGTGTAAAACAAGTCTGCGGTGTCAGTGCCGACACACGGACACTCACACAGACCCCGCTCTGGCCCCTGCGCAGAACGGCGGACTGCTGCTCAGGTCAGTCCACTAGCTTGAACCCACGACCCTCCCTGGGGTTCAGACCTGGAAAGTCATTAAAGACGTCTACAGGACCAAAGCTGGCCTTCCTTACTTCCTACTAATAAAATCCACTTGGAGCGTGAGAACCACGGCACCACTGCGGACCCACCTGCAGCTCCTCTGCTGAGGAAAGCAGTCCTGCCAGTGGGTTTGGGGAGGCAGAGACCACCACCGAGAGCCAGCATCGTGGTGGGCGAAGGACCACCCTGCCTTAAAATGCCCTGCCCGAGCCTTGTGTGATCTAAGTGGCCCTGAGAAGGAGGCTAATTGCTGTTGACATAGTCCACTCCTCGGTGTGACCTTGGACATTGAAGCGTCAGCCCCAATCAGGCAGTCAGGCGTCGCGACCGGCGTCCAGAGACCCCAGGGCTGGCAGTGCGGTCACGCAGCCGTGCGAGCTCTGCTCCAGCCCTGCACCGGTCTGGGATGACAATGCCAGCCACAGCTTCGGGTCCCCTTAGACTTCTCTGCCCCAGATGGCGATTGTGTCTCCTGGGTGGTCTGGGCAGGGTCTCTCTGGGCTCTGTATCTGTCAAACCACCGCTTCAGATCTTTGGGTGTCATCTGCTCTGCAAAACTACTGGCAACTGCTGCAGTCAGCCGTGCTGGCACTGCCAGCCCAGGGAGAGGGTCAGGGGACGCAAGGGAGGAAAAGGGATGACTGGAGAAACCTCTGCTCGTGTATATGGGTTACCTTTCCAAACAAGGGATGATGCTTTCAGCTTTGGCAACAGAGTGAGACCCATGAAATACCTACAAAACTGCATTAATGAACCCAGGCGTGCTCCTACAGCGTGAGCTCTGGACACTTTCAAAACCCCTGATGCCCCCACCAGTGGTAGGATCTGCACTGGCACAGCGAGGCATGAGCAGCTCAGGGAGCCCCTGGTCCTCACCCTCTGACACGGACTTCACTGTGCACCGCTTCTAGCAGCTCACCAATGTGATGTTTTCAGATGCAGTGACTAAATTCAGCAACCCAACTGTCAATGACCCCGTAGCTGCTGAACACTAGCTGTAACCTCTGGAGTCACGACAGGGTATTTTCTTATTTCCTTTCTACTGCGAAGCAGCCTGCTTAGAATTAGGGAAAATTAAAAGGTCATTAAAATTTACTTTTACTTACCACCTCCAAAGTGGCCAATTTTATTAAATGCACTTGATCCAACCCATAACTTTAATCCTTCAAAACCTGAACTATTAATGATTGTCCAGACCCCAGAGTAACTGGTTTGTTGCAGGGTTCTAAAAAACGCATACGGAACATTTGTTCTAAGTATTATTTTTTGAGTTGACAGCTCAAGTGGGAATTTTAACACCGAGACCGAAGTTTATTGTTGATAAACAGCCAAACACATGAAGTGACACATTCAGTCCACATCACAGATCAGAGGAATTAAAAACTCTCTTCTGCCTGGAGAAATGAGGACACACAGCTCGGCACCTGCCTGCAGAGCTTCCTGGCAGCTGCGTGGGACCTTCGTGTCTGCACGGAGTGGATGGGACAAAATGTCCTTGGCTGAAAATGTCAAAAGGGCCTCAGCCCCGAATGGCAGCTTGGCACCAGAGAAGGTGGAGCACAATGCCTGTGCTCTCACCATGTCCAACACCACGCTTAGAGGTCCAGGCCTTGCAGGAAAGAAAAAGGAATCTGGGTTTGAAGTATGACATACGGCTATGCATCACTCAGTATTTTTACTATTTTGACTCTTTAAATGGATTTAGTTCAGGTTTGCCGACCTTAGAGAAAAATATGCGTTTCTCAACAAATGTACCCAAAAGCCAAGTGCAATGGGCCTGCGCTGCTGCAGGCGCACTGCCCCACCACAGCACTTCTTGGAGACCTACTTGTCTTCTCCTTCTTCCTCGGCAGCTTCTGCTTTGCAGAGGAGGAGGAGAAATGCTCCCAGGCATTAATTCAGAAGTGAGATGGGACACTTCCTTGGAAGTGGGGATCCTTTCCTTTGCTAGGTCCAGAGGCAAAACCGGCAAGGGTTCCCAAAGCTGCCTGCTCTCCATCCTGGTGGGAAGGGAGTTGCCACCCCGCCTCCCAGCCATCAGATTCTTTTAGCTAAAGTACCACTGACAGCCCCTTCATCTAAACTTCCATCTCCCAACCCAGCAACATAATGGAGAAGCCAATTAAATGATTATTAATTCATGCTGCTTTCCGTAAGCCAGAGGTTCTCATCTCCCTGCATTCCGTAAACCAGCTTGCCACTTGCCCTAGAAATTTACAGTGGGGTTTCTGCTATCTCCATTGATTTAAAAAACAACACCCTCCCCGCCCCCAGCCTACTGAAAAAACTCCCTTCCTACTAAGTTCAGCAGCCAGCCTGGGAAAAAGTTTTCAGTGGGACCAGGGAACTGTGTTTTCACTGTCCGATGGAAAATGAAATTCCATATTTGGTGGTGCCTCCCTCCTCAAACCTCCCCTGACGTTTTCTTGGAGCAATTACTCAGCATCACGAGCCCTTGGACCAGACTGACCTGCCTGCCGTGCCTGCACAGTCCTGCAGCTGGAAATGCCCACGATGGCAGCCATCACCCCTGCATCGGTCTCGCAGAGGAGCATCCTTAAAGTGGCTGCGGTTTTCCTCCCCAGACCCCGAGTCTGGAGCAGACTGTTTGATCTGTTTTCATGCTCACGCAGCCTTCACCGCGGGCGATGGGCAAGGCCAGGTCCTGTGGTCCAGACCTACCTGTGCAGTTCCATTAACAGCAGCTCAGGAGCCCAGAATAACGGCACAAAAAGTTTCAGTCTCAGCCTCTCTGGTGGACAGTTGCTACCCCACAGAAACACGCAACACAATTTGTATTAATACGGCAAGAGTAAGTCTGAGAAAGTAACTCCACCGAGAGACTGCAGTGACACAAAAGCGGCCAGAGCCCTGCTCAGGTCACCCCAACAGGGCACCTGGGTGTACAGCACTGCTACAGTGCTGCCCGTTTGCTACCTCCTGTCTTAATAATATATGGTTGAATGTTTCTTTCTGAAACACTGTCTGTTTACATTCCTTGTTCCCTGAAGGTACCATTCATTCTAATAAGATGTTGTAGCCATACTAACAGGCCTGTATATTGCCTGTTACTCTACAGTATTTTTTCAACTCTGTATTTGATAAATAACGTGACCGTATGATAGACAGAACTAACTACACAGAGATTTGCAAGCACACTTTTGTACCCAGACCTTTATTGCTGCCTTTCAGAAATGTGGCCCTGAAAATGGTCAAATAATTTATTTTTCTAATGCTGTGTCATACCTTCCAGCCTGCAGTGAGTACG